CATATAATTCTTATGACTCAAGAACTACCTTCTGTCCCCTACTGTCTTCCATGTCTGCTATACTATCACCCAAAGATCAATTAATAATATCATAATAATCTTATCCAGTTATATAACATGATACATTATTGTCATATTTTCTTATAACATGACATATTATTATCATATTTCCTTGTATTCTAGTCTGATAAAAGATCTATTATCATTTGAGAACATCTCCCACTCCTGTTTCAATTTGCTTTAATATTTTAAATGTTGTTGTTGATACACTTATATATATTTCCTGTATTCACAATGAAGTATTTCAGTGACTATTTGCATCTGGAATTTGTTTTTCTAGAGTATTTATTGTTACTCTTGACCTGGAAAGGCAGATAGTAAATGGTAGTCCCAAAATGTGTCATGAGGCTCAATTTATATATAAAATGAATGAGGTTTGGTAGGGCTGTTCCATTTAACTTTGCAATCGTAACAATCAGTGCCAGTGGCTTCGTGGTCAGTTTTGCTGTTGGATATTTCAGTGGACTCTTCTGTCCATCCTAGTTACTACCCGAGAGATGCTATGATTATAAATTTCATGAACATTTCATGAGTCCGATATATAAATATCCTTAGTTATTATGCTTTCTATGTGGTACTCCTTTCTGGCTGACACTTGAAAATATAAGGGCCTCTTCTAATTCAGAACTAGTTATTTGGTCAGGCTGTGTTATTTATGAGTTACCTCATCATCTGCTGGCGGGACAGATAGCCTGCAGTTCACAGATTTATGAAGCATTAATGAAAGGCAGAAGGAAGAAGAGTGAGGGCAATGGTCCTCAGTACGTGTCTTTGTCCATCCAGGCTGCTATAACAAAATACCATGGATTAGGTGGCTTATAAACAACAGAGAGTTATTTCATACTTCTGGAACCTAGAAGTCCAAGATCAGGGTGCAAGCATGGTCTGGAGAGGGTCCTCTTCTAGGTCATAGACATCTTACTGCATCTTTACACGGCAGAAGAGGCTATGGGAGGTCTCTGGAACCTCTTATAAGGCACTAATCCCATTCATCATAGTTTCACTTTCATGATTTTTAAACATCTTCCAGAGGTCCCAACCACTATTGCTATCATCTTTGGGGCTTAAGTTTTCAGCATATGAATTTGGGGAGGACACAAACATTCTGTTCCAAGCAGTATGGAACAAACTACCATAGGTGGTAGAGGGTATAGGACAGCAAGCTCCACAGTAACGGAAGGATCTCATAGCCATAGGATCCATTGAAAGGTAAAAATGCAAAAATAAAAATGCTCAGAAATTTCTAAGCAAGTGCCAAATGCTGCTGATCTACTTCTGAGGAAGGAATACTGTATTTAACCACTAATCCAATAGAATTGTTTTCTTCTCTTTGGGGGAAAAGACTATATGAAAATGTCTCTTATTCTGTAATCTGAGTCAATACAAGAACGATTCTCCTAGAACTTGAAAAACTTAAGTATTTAGAGAAAGGAGAGAACTCCAAATAAGGCAGTATTCTGGATTTAGTTCTCTGGTTTTATTGCAAGGTGTACTGTGAACTATTGCTTGAGTTGTCACTTTAAAATTTCACATCACTGATTTAAGGAAGTCTGGTTTCAAACAAGTCTGGGATGGATATGAGAAATTCAGTGGGGTAAGGGTCCTTCTGTTAATAGGCATGTTTGAAAGCTATCAAGAATTTTCTTTAACACTGAATAACAATTTAATTTGTCAAATATGATAAAATTGATAAAAAAATTATTCTTTTTACAGAAAATATAACTATATCCAACCATTTTGGAATAAAACTGTTTGATAAAGAAAAATATCAACTAAAGAGCACTTTTTTATTTGTTTTTAGTCAAAGATTAAAATTGCATTAAAGACAGACATGATGGGACTTATAGGTGTGGTTTAAATTTCTATATCTGGTAACTAAAGGTAGAAGTATTCATCTTAACAGGGTCCCCATTGTGACTGACATAAACTTAGTTGTAAGCACCTGTTTGATTGATTCTTCTCTTCAGCTTTGATCTCCTGAGGGGCCTCCAAAGATTTTCAAAGACATGTGTTACTCAGCCAAGTCCCTAATCACCTAAGCATAGGACTCATCTTTGTAGCAATGGCAATTTTCAGAATTGATTTGAATGGCTGAGAAAACCCCTCACTCCATGTGCTTTCAGGATTCCTGCAGGAAAATCACATAAATACACCTCCTGAGGTATATACCATCTCAGAAGTCATTCTGCCTCAAGATCAACTTTGGAAGGTCTATTTCAGCCATCTACTGGATAAAAGTATGTTCTTAGAGTGTATTTGAGGAGTTGGCATTTTTAAAACTCCAAACTCTAGAAGAAAGGACATTTTGGACTTCTCCATTAATCTCAGAAAGGTAGCTTCCTCCAGAGGGAAGTACATCCCCCCAGGGAAGGTAACTTTTCCTATTTATTGGCCATCAGCACCTGCCAGGCTGAGGAGAGCAGCAGGAATTGCTAATGACGTGCCCCTCGGTGAGGATGCACACAGCAGCGCTGGCCAGAGACCAAGAATGGGTCTACACATACAGAGTGTGGACATGCTACATGATTTTTCAACATCTGGGGATTTGTCCTCCGACACAGTGAAGGTCAGAGAATTAGAAGCCAGCTAGAAAGACAGCCTGAAGGAACATAAGCAAACAATCCCATCAAGTTACTGACTCAACTCCCTTGAGATTTTTCTCCCGGGGGTCTAGCCAAATGAAGACCCTGACTAATTTCTTCTTAGTTCTTTAGCAGCAAAATGAATCTAGTTTTGGTAAGTGGGGCACAATGAGGATTTAGTAGTCCAGGGAGTTGCTGAGTCCTCTGGAGAATGTGTCCCTAGCATAGACATGGGCAGATAGATTTGGGCCATAATGCCAAAGCTCTCTGGACAATGAAGCTGTGAATTTTTATACATAGCATATAGTAATTGGTTACAAATAAAGTTATTAATGTGATGCAGGAAAATATAAAATAATCATGATGATATTTTTGGCATAAATGTTGATAGATTTGCAATATAAGACAGGAGAGGTAAAAACTGCCATATCCTTGATATTTTATGCCCTATTTTCTTGTGTCAGAGTTGCAGATCATTAGGTTTATTGCTCAAGTTAAGGTTTTTCAATGTTTATTTAACTCAGAGTTTTATTAATCTGATTAAAGTTTGAGTTTTGGATAAGTCAAATTCAGCTATTACATGAAATATAAGTAATTCCCAGGGTAATCAAGCATGGCTGCTTATTTTAATCTGCATGTAGCTACAGTATATTTTATCTAAATTCAGATGCAAGTCACATAATGTAATGCAAAGGAGTTCAACCTAAACTCTCAAGAGAATGCCATTTATTAGCATCTTCATGATTAAAGAAATATTTAGTACTAAAACCTGAACATATTAAGGAGGAAAAAATACCATGCCATTTGGGCTATGAACTTACATAGCCCATATTGAGATCAGCACATCTTTTCATCGTAAACTTTGGGATTAGTTAGGGAGATGTTATCATCTGGTTGGCATCCTCATTATTTCAGAATTCATATTTAGAAAGAGAATTTCAGAATTCACATTTAGAAAGAGAATTTCTTGAGGGATTTACTGGTCCCTGTGTTGTGGGGATATCACCCAATACTGTTGATCTATGAACTTTTTGCCTTTTTTTTTTTTTTTTAAGATTTTATTTGTGAGAGAGAGAGAAAGAGAGCAGGGGAGAGGCAGAGGGAGAGGGAGAAGCAGACTCCCCACTGAACAGGGAGCCCAACATCACCTGGGGCTCAATCCCAGGACCCAGAGATCACAACCGAGCTGAAAGCAGATGCTTAACCAACTGAGCCACCCAGGCACCCCAAACTAATTTTTTTTTTTTTTTTTTTTAGTATTAAGTGCTTTGCAGGACTCAAATATAAAATAAAGTATGTCCATATGGCCCTACCTTTTGAGGAATTTAAACCAATTCAATTTATTTGTGTTGAAAAGACCTGTGTGCCTGGAAACTGCTAGAGTACCACACAAGAATGTGACTTTGGTTTTAGAAATCCCACAACAATTTTGAGAGAAACATGCACAGAGAGAAAGGAAGTCATTTAAGGAGCATTCGAGTAGGAAACATAAGACACAGATCAGAACTGAGTGAGGAGGGAAGGATACAAGGGGCTGATGACCATTGGATGCAGATCAGGAAAAGAGTGAACCAGAGTTGGCTTGGCAAGCCTTGAGAACAGTGATGCTCTGCCAGCCTCTTGGAGAGTGAGACCTCTGCTGGTAAGCCTGGAGAAAGATTTTTGGGTAGTCAGGGTGGAACTGCGGAAAATAGAATCTTATACTGAGGCCCAGAAAGGTTAGAAGACTTTCCCAGCCACAACCCTAATATGTGGCCAAGATGAGAGTCAACTTGAAATGCTCTTCTCAATGCTAGACTGCTGCTTTTTTTCTAGGTTTAAAAGCAAGTCATCTGTCTGGGTCGTACATAGCTGCAGCAAAGTGGTGTTGACCCTAGACTCAGAACCATCTTATCACAGTTGTGGGGTTAACTTTCATGGGAGTCATCTGATATCATCTGAGATGGCTTAGACATATCCTAGCCAACTTTTTTAGAAACCGTCAGTTTGCATTTTTAGTAAAATCATTATATTTCATTTGCTTTACTCTTTCTCGACATTAACAGATGAGATGCCGTTGCTGTGATGTGTTTAGTTTTCTAAAATGCAAATCAATGTATGAATAGGACATGTGGAAATCGAAATTCAGTTTGTTGTAGAGCACAAATCCTCCCTTAGGAACAATCTACAGTTGTCAACCAGCTTCTTCTCCCTGATATCTACTAACGTAAGGAAAATATAATTGCACCATGATCACATTATATGCTAACACGAGTTTGGACAAAACTGTCTATGAGTTGCCATGACAACCCCAATAAAGATAAAACTAAAAATGGTATTCACAATGCATATTTACCTAGAGTTTATTTTGTCTTCTAGGCTTTTCAATGGCCAACAAGGAATCATTATTCAAAACTTTAGCACAAGATCCATTCTCACTGTTACCAACGTGACACAGGAGCACTTCGGCAACTATACTTGTGTGGCTGCCAACAAGCTGGGCACAACCAATGCGAGCCTGCCTCTCAACCGTAAGTAATACAGTGTTGCCAAAATGCTCCCTATGTGGGGGGGCCCTTGGCTCCTGTCCATCAGCAGAAATAAAACGTGAGAATGGTGTATGTTCAGTTTAGAACTCAGCCTGATGTGACACATTCCTTACACAGAGGAAACTTGGCCCCTAAATGGTATGGGTGTTTGAGAATTTTTGAATTCTTCTTGAAGTCCATATATGTTTAGAAAAGTGTTTTGGAGCTGAGAAAAGGGAAACATTACCAAAATGATAGGACCCACTGAAAAATGTCTTCTGACTGAAGATGGTTTGGTGGGCTTTTGTTTGTTTTTGTTTTGTTTTGTTTTTAAACATATATTACAGTGTCTTTAAGCATAGGTTAATTTCAGTTGAATTTACTTTCGGTTGGTTTTGTTTAGACATTCATCTTGGAATAGTGAAAATTTCACATGCCATATATAAAGTGAAAGAGTAAGTAAATGATCATGGACAGAGAATTTTATCCATACAGGTAATGATTTTACTCAAAACTGTATTTGAAATACAACTTAAGGTTTTGCTTAAATAAATACTCTATTTCTAATATATCTTGGTTCCTAGTCCATTTCTAAGGACTAGAAATGAAAAAGGAAGAACAAACATGAGGATCGCTTGAATGGAGAGACACCTAAGCTGATGTTTTTCTCCTACAATTACTTTTAGTGCTTTTCAAGAGCTGAATAAACAACACATTTTCATAACCATAAGATATTCCTAATTTTCAAGTGGAGTATTTCTTAAAACATTCAAAGATTAGACAGAATATACTATCTTTTCAGTTCCACAGAATTATCTGAATTATCCTTATCTTTTGTAGTTAATATTTTTATAGTAAGCTGACATATATTTATGTTATCATCCTGTGATAATAAGCTGTCTCTGAAAAATGTGGATATTGTGTAATTCATCACAGACATGATCACTTCTGTCTTGCAGATATAATACTTCCACTACTTAAAAATATACTGTAAAAACTATGATTTATGAACTTTGAAGTACCTCTTTTATTAGTTAAAATATATTAGTTGTTAGTAGAAAATAATCATTTGAAAAGGATTTGCTTTATATACATATTAAAAACAACATATCACTTATTATTCTAGCTTAATATTACTTAATATTTCTTAATACCCACACTCTGAAAAACACTGCTTGCTATGCAATAGCTATAGTATAATAAACTTGCTTAAGTTTCTTCCATGAGGGTGATTTTTCATGTAATTATGAATAATATAAACGATTAAAAATATTACAGAGCAGTGTGAATTCCCATTTAATGTAAAAATTGATACTTCTTTGATATACCATTAATATTTTAAGTGATTTAAATATTCAAGAACCTGAAAGAATAAATGAATTAAACAGGCAAAGTAAAGAAAACTTTAAGACTTAATAACACATTAACATTTTGGTATTTGAATTTCTAAATCACATTCTGATTTTTGAAACTGAAACATTAATGAATGTGACAAATTAGGAACAAATGTCACTTAAGTGTTTGTGGTGCTCTGGCAACTTTAATGCAACCATTTGGAAATAACTCACTGCTGAAAGTGCTTCTAAGCATGGTGTCTTTAGAATGGACTCTGATCATCTCCCTTTCCCAGTTGGCTCCTGGATGTAACAGTGCTATGAACTACTAGCACAATTTGATTGATTTGTCAACAAAGACGTAATATGCAAATCTTACCTGTAATTTTGAGCATAGCCCTAGAAGTCTGAAGAAGCATCTATACATTCAGAACTCTTCTGTGACCTCATCTGAAGCTCTTACTGCACTATTTCTATTATGTACAGTAATTTTTTTATATGCTTTTCATCTCTCTCCACCAAATTATGTTTGTTAAGAATATAGGATCAATACCTGATTCATTATGTTATCTCTCATATCACCAGGCACGGTGCTTGCTATCTAATAGGTAATCAATACATCTTTGGGGAGTAAATGAATTTGTTAAGCATTGAATAAGTGATTAAATAGCTAATGAATAAATGAATGAAGGAACTGGGTTTTAGATGTAAAACGTGTATTTGTAATCTCTAGATATGAAAGACAATAGCAGGAAGATTACAAGTAACACTTATTGTGAGTTTAAGGTAGACCAGATACCATTCTAATCTATATGAATTTGTTCATTTAATTCTCATGTGATCCGAAGAGGTAAATTCTATAATTTCCTTCTTACAGATGAGGAGACTAAGATGAAGAGAGATTAAAAATTTGGCCAAAGTCAAATGGTTAATAAATTACAAAGCAAAACCCTGAATCCCTTACTGTCTTTCTCCAGAGCCCAAGGTTTTAACTCTTACATTTCCCTGTCTCTTGCTATGAACGTAAAAGCATCAACTGAGTGTAAGATAAATTGCATCATTTGCAACATACTCTTCCAAAGCTAAACCTGTACATATAACATATTTTTCCTTCTTGTGTTTTTATCAACTTCTCTTTAATAATTTAGGGTGCTATTCTTCAACATATGAAGCTTTTTAAAACAAGTGTTTAGATGTAAACAACATACACCAGATACCAAATTTAAGGATATGAAAGATGAATGGGCTCAATGTTTGACTGAAAACTTACACAAAAATGAGACTCAGGGACATTTAAACACACATTTTTATGGCATTTAAAAAAAAATTTCTTTTATTTTTTTTCAGTCTTCCAAGATTCATTGTTTATGCACCACACCCAGTGCTCCATGCAATTCGTGCCCTCCTTAATACCCACCACCAGGCTCACCCAACCCCCCAACCCCCTTCCCTCCAAAACCCTCAGTTTGTTTCTCAGAGTCCATAGTCTCTCATGGTTCATCTCCCCCTCCAATTTCCCCCAACTCACTTCTCCTTTCCAACTCCCAGTGTCCTCCATGTTATTCCTTATGCTCTATAAGTAAGTGAAACCATATGATAGTTGACTCTCTCTGCTTAACTTATCTCACTCAGCATAATCTCCTCTAGTCCTGTCCATGTTGATACAAAAGTTGGGTATTCATTATGGAGGCATAATACTCCATTATATATATGAACCATATCTTCTTTATCCATTCATCCATTGAAGGGCATTTTTGCTCTTTCCACAGTTTGGTGACTGTCGCCTTGCTGCTATGAACATTGGGGTACAGATGGCCTTCCTTTTCACTACATCTATATCTTTGTGGTAAATACCCAGTAGTGCAATCGCAGGGTCATAGGGTAGCTCTGTTTTTAATTTTTTGAGGAATCTCCACACTGTTTTCCAAAGTGGCTCCACCAACTTGCATTCCCAACAATAGTATAAGAGGGTTCCCCCTTTTCCGCATCCTCTCCAACACTTGTTGTTTGCTGTCTTGTTAATTTTGGCCATTCTAACTGGTGTAAGGTGGTATCTCAATGTGGTTTTGATTTGAATCTCCCTAATGGCTAATGATGATGAACATTTTTTCATGTGTCTGTTGGCCATTTGTATATCTTCTTTGGAGAACTGCCTCTTCATGCCTTCTGCTCATTTTTTGACGTGATTATCTGTTTTGCATGTGTTAAGGTTGAGGAGTTGTTTATAGATCTTGGATGTCAGCCCTTTATCTGTAGTGTCATTTGCGAATATCTTCTCCCATTCTGTGGGTTGCCTCTTTGTTTTGACTGTTTACTTTGCTGTGCAGGAGCTTTTGATCCTGTGGAAGTCCCAAAAGTTCATTTTCACTTTTGTTTCCTTTGCCTTTGGAGACTTTTCTCTTTGGATGGTATAGTTATCCAACATAGGCATTGTGAATCTATAAACTATATTATGGGGAAAGACAGTTTTCTTGAAGTCCACATGATGCTAGCTGGAAATTATACTGTGTTACTTGAGAAGAGCTTTTGCTTCACAAGGTCTATGAATGGAAGAGTCTTCAAATTCTAAACTGATCCAAGATGAAGCCAGTTGTATGCTGACCTAGTATTGGACTATGACCAGCTGTTAAAAATTTATTGCTGAAGGTCAGCCCTTCCTATAATTAAGGGACTATGTAAAGCTAGCTTGCCCATTTTCTTATCCAAGAGAAAAGAAAGAGACTCCAAAAATTCTGTCACTTGTGTACATGGTGATATTTGGAACATGCCATGAATAAGAAAATTTCTATGTTTTCATGGTTTGTATCCCTGATAGTTCATACACTTAAAGACAGGGTTATCAGAAATGTGCTTTGCCTAGTATAGTGTTTATACATAGCAAACACTCAAACTGATTGAGAATAGCTTTCCAACAAAGCTTTAGCCACTCGGAATCAGCTCCCTAGCCATAACTACTTAGGATTAATCTTGGACTGAGGCAGTCTACTCCTGGTTCCTAACAACCTGCATTTCCTAGATCACCAAGAAGACAGAAGGCAAGAAGCAATAATTTAGAGCTTTGCTATAACTAAGACCATTTAAAAAAAAAAAAGGCAACATTCTTTGGGGTGTGTGTGTGTGTTTGTGTGTGTGTGTGTTTCACATAAAATGAGTCAAGCAGGCCTGGGATTGAATCCCATTTTTACTACATATCAGTTATGTGTGACTTTGAGTAAGCAAATGCTGCAAAGCCTTGGTTAATTCATTGATAAGATGAGGGCACTACCAGCTCCCATCTATAGGAAAAAAATTAAATGGGATGATGCATGTAAAGCATTTATCATCAGCCTGGAACAAAGTAAACAATAAATGTTAGCCATTGTAATTATATTATATCCCCTAAGAGCACTCAGTTCACAAAGCAATATATAGATGGCTGACTTTATTTGTTGACCCAGTGCCCAACACTTTACTAAGGATTTAGATGGTAAACTGTCCCTGGCAAGCAAGGGAGAAGACATGCAAATCTGAAATAATGTCCCAACTCTAGCTTGTAACTTAACCTCATCCTTAGTCAGTGCAGGGACCAGTCTTTGTGGCACTGATTCTAGACTAAATATGATGTTTGCTGCATAGAAGTTCAGACATCTAGGAGATTCAAAAAGTAAAAGCAAAACTAAAACAATTGTT